CAAGTGTAGCACGCATACTATTTGCAGGATTTTTTGGAATTTTTTCATCATCAATAAACACAAATTTGACCACATCATTTCTGAAGCACTAACCGACACACAAGCTTACGAAAGTTTTGAAGAAAGATTTCAATTATTTTCACTAACCTTTCATTTCCTTGCACCACATGAACGAGATTTGCACTGCTCACATGACATTATGTTACGCACTAAACAAACCCACACATATACATATTACCGCTTTATACAAAATCACTTTAACCTACACACTCCATCAAGACAACCACACCATCGTTTTCAATTTATTAACTCTAAATACACATCACCATTTTTTCTTAACTTCACATATTGCATCAAAGATACTAACCTTCACGGTATTCTTCGCAATTATGATCCCATAACCCAAATGTATATTTTTTGTCCCATCACAAAGACCTTCAACGCAGAAGAATCCAGACCCTTCCTTATCCCACATGAATTTGTTCAACCTATAGAAATCCCCATATTAGAATTCATCCACATTAATAAATATAACCACAAATTATATAATCTCATCCAAAACACACCTTATGATTTTGCAGTTGGCACTGAAGAACTAAAAACCATTAAAGCACTTCAATTGCTTTGGCCACTGCTTCAAACTAAAAACATCATTCGCATACTAGCAAAGTTACTAACAAATTCCGACATAATCCACGACATCTTCCCCCACGGTTTTTTCCCCGACGACTAACAGGTAAGTTTAATTTATACATATACTAATAAATTTAAAATAAAACACTAACCATTCTTTATCCATGTTTTATTTAGATTTTTAGTCTTCATCTCACGATCATCTGCAAAATACACAAAAGAACAATAAAAAATAGAAAACTTCTTCAAATTGTCCCAAACTCTAATAATCTTTTGCACCAGCTAAATTAAATAAAATTCATACAAATGTAATAAATTAATTTATAAATTATTTCCCTAAAAGCAGTAATTCTAATAATGATGAAAATTTGTAACTTAATTTTTCCCCAAAACAAGCAATAAAATTGAAATTCTATGTAGTAAATTAATAAAACGCAAATGCAGTACTAACCTTTTGATATTTTCATTCACTCGCACAAGAATTCTATCCAAACTCGCACAGCTCGCCCACGAAGAATTGTTTAAATAATGAATTTCAGTTTCAAGCTTTCACACTCAACAACTCTAACACACGATAACAAGTTTCAAACTTTCCTTTAACCCGGTTGGAAAGGAATTATATACTAAACAAAACTAACCAATGCAGCTTACTAAACACCACAACACATAGAATAACAGCATGACTAAGAAAAGGAAACCAACGGTACCCAAACCGGATTAACCCAGCTTAAAACTGGATAATTTATTCTTTTGAAGACTATTATAAAGTCTAAGAAAGAAATAATAAAACACAAAAAAGTCGAAAGACAAACCCATACCAAAAACAATTTGATTTTTGAAAAAAGGACACAACCAACGAAACATATGAAAAACCACAATAAACCCAACATAAAACGTTATCACATAACAGGACCTCTCACAGAAACCGCACGAAATCATACTCCCACTCCTGGCCTAACCCACCAGAGAGGACGTCCTGAGCATGCTCTATAGCCGGCCTAACCCACCGCGCTACATCCACGCTTTGTGACCACACTCCTATTTTTAATAAGAGGTACTCAAGGGTGAGTAACTCTTCAAAATAACTGAACTAAAACAGAAAGCTTTTGTGAAAACAACTAACCAAAATCATAACTAAAACACTAAACTAATAAAAATTTTATAAAATGTAAATTATATCTTGCAGTATATAGATCAGCATACAACACCAAAGACGAACATCCAAAGACAAAATGACCCCACTACACTCGAAAAAGAATGGCCAACCACAATCAATATGCCGCCCACAATCACAACTCAAAGGATTTAGAGTACGACTTGACTTCGCAGAAAAGGACTTCATTGAACTAGAACAATGACCACCTCGATGTCCAAGTATACGTACAGATCCGAGTAACCAGGCATCCCCTCCACGCACAGTCTCCACGCCATTCCCAGACAAGGTCAAACACAAAGAAGTTCTCTACATGAAACGAAAAAACCTGTCATAGCAAACCATTCTGAAATCAGATTTGAGTTTGTTGCGAAAACCCAGTCGTTGTCATGAGAACACACAACGATTGAATCTGGAACTTCTCTAACAAGAGAACCCAGACGAAATATGATGTTCGCCAAATACCAACGTCCATCATCCATCTTTTGAATTGCAGAAAGACTATTCTAAAAAACTCTGTAAAACCCGGATGGGTGGAACCTGATCTAAACTACATTTTATGATTGGATAAATTAGATATTTTACCACTGTAAAGTATTTAATATTAACCAATCATGATCCATCTAACTAACAACCCACTTATTTGTAAGTGCTGGAATTACTTGTAATTTCAGCACCAGAGAGATTTTTATTTAACTTAGAAATTAGTTGACTCTCCAAGAAGACTTCAGCAGCCGCAATAAACCAGTATACCCTAGATCTATTGAGCCTAGCAGAGACTAGTTAAACACCCTGAGACTAGATAGTATAAGAGTAAGATTAGGATCGGTATTAGACTAAGAAGTTGCACGAATCTATCCGGCCGAGAATAACAGCATGACTAAGAAAAGGAAACCAACGGTACCCAAACCGGATTAACCCAGCTTAAAACTGGATAATTTATTCTTTTGAAGACTATTATAAAGTCTAAGAAAGAAATAATAAAACACAAAAAAGTCGAAAGACAAACCCATACCAAAAACAATTTGATTTTTGAAAAAAGGACACAACCAACGAAACATATGAAAAACCACAATAAACCCAACATAAAACGTTATCACATAACAGGACCTCTCACAGAAACCGCACGAAATCATACTCCCACTCCTGGCCTAACCCACCAGAGAGGACGTCCTGAGCATGCTCTATAGCCGGCCTAACCCACCGCGCTACATCAACGCTTTGTGACCACACTCCTATTTTTAATAAGAGGTACTCAAGGGTGAGTAACTCTTCAAAATAACTGAACTAAAACAGAAAGCTTTTGTGAAAACAACTAACCAAAATCATAACTAAAACACTAAACAAATAAAAATTTTATAAAATGTAAATTATATCTTGCAGTATATAGATCAGCATACAACACCAAAGACGAACATCCAAAGACAAAATGACCCCACTACACTCGAAAAAGAATGGCCAACCACAATCAATATGCCGCCCACAATCACAACTCAAAGGATTTAGAGTACGACTTGACTTCGCAGAAAAGGACTTCATTGAACTAGAACAATGACCACCTCGATGTCCAAGTATACGTACAGATCCGAGTAACCAGGCATCCCCTCCACGCACAGTCTCCACGCCATTCCCAGACAAGGTCAAACACAAAGAAGTTCTCTACATGAAACGAAAAAACCTGTCATAGCAAACCATTCTGAAATCAGATTTGAGTTTGTTGCGAAAACCCAGTCGTTGTCATGAGAACACACAACGATTGAATCTGGAACTTCTCTAACAAGAGAACCCAGACGAAATATGATGTTCGCCAAATACCAACGTCCATCATCCATCTTTTGAATTGCAGAAAGACTATTCTAAAAAACTCTGTAAAACCCGGATGGGTGGAACCTGATCTAAACTACATTTTATGATTGGATAAATTAGATATTTTACCACTGTAAAGTATTTAATATTAACCAATCATGATCCATCTAACTAACAACCCACTTATTTGTAAGTGCTGGAATTACTTGTAATTTCAGCACCAGAGAGATTTTTATTTAACTTAGAAATTAGTTGACTCTCCAAGAAGACTTCAGCAGCCGCAATAAACCAGTATACCCTAGATCTATTGAGCCTAGCAGAGACTAGTTAAACACCCTGAGACTAGATAGTATAAGAGTAAGATTAGGATCGGTATTAGACTAAGAAGTTGCACGAATCTATCCGGCCGAAAATAAGATAGCGTGACGAGCAGACGGTGTACCCTATCCGAAATTACTCTATGAGTTAACCACCTCGGTCCTAACTCATTAGCATGGAAATAAGATGAGACACTTCACTTTTTACAAATCCAAGTAGTCTCAACTTTGTGATAACTTGCCTTTTTAGCAATAATTTGTTTTGTTGCTTATTGTTAACAAAATTTTTTAGCTATGGGAGAATGCGGCTCAGTGGGTACGCACCAATGGAGAAATCAAATGTTGATTTTTTAAAATTTGTTTCAACTATCAGCTTGTTTTCAGCTTTTTTGACCTGTTTTTTCAAAAATTTGCCTGACGCGCAGAAAATTTGCCAAAACAGTCTTTTTTAGTGCTTTAAGAGAGCTAGGAAAATCAATTTGGTCGACCTATACAAAAAAAAGTCGTCAAAGTTTTCCAAAATTTTTTGAAAATACGAATGCGCCCTCCCCACGAGAAAAACCTAGATCGGCCCCTGAGCACATACATGGTTTTTTTAGTATTGAAAAATCGAACTCGGGTTCTGGAAAACACCTAAAATCGATTTCAAAAAATGAAAAAAAAAAGATTATCTTTATTGTATTTCACACGAATTATTGACAGCAAAATTTTGATGTGCCGCTTTAAGTCATTTTCTGTTTATAAAATTTTCATCATTCGGTCCCTCCATCAATAGAATATCCCCAACGAACTTTTTTTCATGTTTCCAGTTTCAATTTTAAACTTTACCTTGAAGTTTCAAGTTTAAGTTTTTTTCAAGCTTTCAGTTTCAATGTCAAATTTAGTTTTCAAGTTCCAGGTTTTAGGATTGAAAAGATCAATATACGCATATGTTAAACAATTTTAGCAAAATGAATGTGTTTTGTCCTAGCACAATAAATGAAAAACACATGCTGCAATACAAACAACTGTGAAACTTAGCATGTGAGCTCAAATTAACATTAAAAAATAGCAGCAACTAGTCAATAACAATATTTTTGCTATTACCAATCGAAACGTTTTAAGTTCTCAGAATGAAATGTTTATTGTTAGTTAGCCTCTTTTTTCAATTTTAATAAAAATTTGATGAATTATAACAATAAACTTCGTCTACGGCATTTTGTTGCGAGATTGGGTCACAGCCGACCCTTTCTTTCGCCATTTTCTTCATGAATTGATGCAATTTAGTTAATGCAGCAATGTAAATTGATACAGCTTGCCTCTCAAATAGGTAACAGCAGTTGAAATTAAAAAAAAAACTTTTTGAAAGAGTATTGTAAATTATTGGAGCCGATCATTTGCAAATCTGCTAGTATTTTAATATAACTAAATATTTGCACAAAACGGTTCAAAATGCATAATTGAACAATTTGATCAGAGAAAAAGGATCAACCGTTCTATCCTCCCAATCGATTTAGGGGAGTAAAAATACAAAGTTGCTCAAGATCACTTGGAAGACAATATTATATCTTCTACCAAACAAATTCAATTATCGATAAATAATTTAAACCTCGATTTAACTAATTTTCTGGCCAATAAAAATACATATGATCGACTGAAAATTTTCAATTTATTTACATTTTGTGCGTTTGTGTAAAATATATATTTTATACAGAATTAATGCTCAGAAATGTTACATGCTTGGTGAGGACATCGTACGGTAGGCCACTTCAGGAAGGGGGTGGTGATTGTACGGTTGATCCAAGAAAAGTTATGTGGTAGAAGCTGTATGCTTATATTAGTCAATCAAATTTAAGAAAACAATTTTATAATTCCGATTTTTGATACGAAAGTAACGGAATATTTGGGCTCGGGTTGGGTTTTTTATTTCTATAGATAAATTTCGACTTTTTAACTAGCCATTTTTGACGGAAATTTTTTATATCATTCGAAAGGAATTGTTGTCCTGAGCTCAAATTTTAAAAGATATTTTATCTGTGATTATTTTTTGTAAAGTTATGGGGGTTTAAAGATTGCCAATTTGGCCAAATTGGGACAAATAACGCGCGATATCTTTCGCGCTATTAACGCGTAAGCGGAGTTTAATCCGTCCTAGAAATCGTTCCAAATTGGTTGAAGGTAGTTTGTTTGCCACAATTGATTTGTTACAAGGAGCAAAATCTATCTTTTTTGTACTTTATATGGCGTGTGGGGTGAAATTTTTCATTAAAAACATTTCAAATTTTAGAAAAAAAAATGTTCATTTTTTTTTACATTTAACATTTTAATGTTATTACTGCTCCATAAACCTTACAAGGCAGTCGGAACATTCAGGGCTTCGCCCTGATACGAACAGTCTTCTTCGTTTTACATAACATTTCAAGCAGTTAAAAACGACTTGAAATAAAGCAAGACTGCTCGAATATCAGGGCAAAAGCCTGAATGATCACACTGCATTTAAAATTCAATTTGGAATTTTTGATTGAAAAAGGATAAAATTATTGACGGTTTTTTTACATATCTTGTTCCTCGTTTTATCCGCTACATGGGATTTTAAAAGCAAAGGGATTTAATTAGCCTATCGCATCTTTGTAATAATACCTAATTACTTGCCGCAACTCAATGTGGAACGATTTAATCTGCCGCTAACGCATGTTTTTGGAACTCGGTAAATGGCGCGTTATTTATCTCAAATTGGCCAAGTTAGTTTTTTTAACCCCCATATTTCAGATGTTATAAAAAATTTCGCGTCGAAAACTATCACCTAAAACTTCGAAAAAGACTGCAGAAAAACCAGCCCAAGCATAACTTTTCCGCATTTCTCGACAAATTACCTATTTCAAAATCTGGCTGATTGAATAGCGGATGTCATCCACACAAATTTCATGTTGATGAATAACGATTATTTGTGTCAATTGCTTCATTTATTAACGAATAGATTTTTCGCAATTTGAACAACTTTTAATGTTTTTTTTTGGCCGTAAAGTCCAGTCGGCCTGTTATTCTAGACCCCCTTATTTATACTGATTTCCTTGTTATGAGGCTGCCGGTGTTTGCCTGCTAGCTTGCCCATGCAACAGAATGCAACGGACTTGATTGCTAATTCAGGATTGTTGGCATGTTTTTTTTATGGCAACAATTAATTATTTTTTAAAGGGCAGTCGGAATATTCAGGACTTCGCCCTAATACAAGCTACTTTGACCATTAATATTCATTTTAAAACTTAGAAATTTGAAAACATGAAAAAAATATTTTTGATATTGTGACACTCCGGTAGTGATGGCGCCCAGCAAGCTAGTCATAGTTTGATGGGAGCTCATTGTATGCGCTCTTGTTAACTTAAATAATCAACCTCCTTTGGTTGAATAACAAAAAATCGATTAATTTTTCATTTTTGCTGATTTTTTAATCAATTTCGTATAGCAGACCTTTTCATCAACGTTAAAGTGGGAACGTTCCCGATTTTGTCCTGATTCACGAGCAGTATTGTTTTTACTTGAGGTTTTTATTTCTATCAACACCCATTATCATCTTCTAAGAAACAGCCGAAGACAACTTCTACGCGAGAAACTGTTGTTCACCAGAGCGAATGAAATCAGCCAAGTTGGCCAGTAATTTACCGGTGTGCGTCATCTGCACTGACGTTATAAGTGACCCACGACAACTACCCTGCGGTCACTCATATTGCGGACCTCCCAAAACATGTTTAGAAGCCCAGAAGATCGGAAGCCGCCTCAAATGCTCCCTTTGTAAAAAGGAACACATATTGCAAATATCGGATCTGAAACCTATGTATGGACTGAGAGAGTTCATTGAAGAGCAAAAAGAAGTCACAAAAGTGATTAAAGGAGATCGATTGTGCTGTTTCTTGCATCCAAATAGTCCAGTTACGCTGTGGTGTAAGATATGTCTGGAAACCATGTGTGCAAATTGCGTGGAATTGGAAAAACACTCCGATCATAACTTTGTGCCGTTTTCTATAAATTTGCGATCGATACTGAAACAGCAGGTTGAAAATTTCACAGAAGAGCGATGGAATCGTATCAAAGATTTTAATCAAGAAATAGCTGCACTGAAAAAAGAGGCACAAAAAAGCCTAAAACTGGCCGACGAACTTGAAAAAGCGAAATGCGCCTATGAATCGAATTGGATCGAAATTCAGGTTTTTACGCAACGAAATGGGAAATTACCCGAAGCCGATATAATTGAATGGTTTTTCCACGGACATTTCAAAAGAAGTGGCAATCAGTTACTCACTGGAAAAACTTCCCGCGATGCGTGTTGTTCAACCGAAACTATCGCAAAATCAAACGCTCTAACACAAACGGTTTTAATTTCATCGAAACCTGTGACCAGATACACTGCAACTCAAGCAAGTTTCAAGGCTCATGATCCAACGCCACAGAAACTGAGCCAAACTGCTACTAATCTGGACTTGAACAATGTCCGAGTAATGTATAATGATCATTTCATGGATAGCCAAAACTACTCCGGTGACTCACATATAAACCCTATTGTAATTGAGTTTCCATACGATCGAAATCAGAACGGAACTTTGAAGTCCAATCAAATTGTCAATGAAAAAGGCAAATTTCATGTGACAATTGAACGAGTATTTGATCAATTGAAGACTTCTGTTGAGTTTACAGAGACTGCGAGCAGTACTGCGTTTACATTCAACGTAACGAAGCGCGATGGCAACGAATTCTGGATTTGGAAATACGAAAAAGCGAATGTAACTCTTCTTGAAAGATTGACAACCCTTCAGTGGTACCAGCTCAAAACAGATAAACCAAATAAGACCTCTGTAATTCGGACTACTCTCAAGTTTAATTGAATATCACGCTTTTAGAAAGGTTATGTTATGGTAATATGTAGACTGAAAAGAAAATTAATGTTCATTTGGATTGCTTTGATGTAACACAATTTATATTCCTTTTTATGTTTTACTCAATAAAGTACTCAATAAGATTTTTAAACACTGGGCAATTTTTTTATCAGATGTTGAAATGAAACAAGGATAGCAGGCTGGTGTGCAAGTAGCATGGAAAATTCGAACTACAATAAAAAAAAACAAAAAAAAACAGTTTGTATTCAAATTACGCCGTTGTTTGTTCGTGGTGTGATGAGAGAGTAAAACCTATAATTTCGATGATAATAATTAAATTAGGTGTATTTGACACCTCATTACTTCATAGAACTGAACAAATTGAAACAACACATTTCGAAAAACTTTCCCAACGTTTTGCAGTTTTTTAAATTTTTTTTTTAAAAACGTATTCCCAAAAAAGCGGTAAAATAAAAATCAAAAATTGTTAAAAATATAAGAAATCTTTCATAGCTCATCTTGATTTATAAAAAAATTATTAAAAACCTATTACATTTGTTTTATTCGCTCAAAGTTATACTGAAAAAATAAAAACAATTCAAACCTGTTTTACGCAACACTGAGTTAGTAAGCGTAGTGTTTTAATGTCGTTCCAATATTACGGGGCCAAACTGTGCACTGGATAGGCGCACAATTTTGTATCTGCATGTTCCCGGACTCCGGAGACAAGTCTTTAAACATACAGGAATTTTGTCGGATCGATCAAAGAAAATAAAAACCAAAAGAAGAACAAAGGGAGCATCCTTTTTGCGGAAGTCGCTTGCAATCCACAAAATGCACATTTTGGCCTCGTAATGAATCACGACTGAAAAGGCTTTAATATTATATATCACTCAATCAATTCAGTTTTTGTGGTACCTGATTTTGCGTGGAGAACAAAAAGAACAAAAAGAAACTAAAAAACACCTGAAGACAAAATTCTTCCTCATATTCAATGATCAGAACAAAAAAACGATCACAAATTACGTTAATATGTAATCCTTCGATGCTTTAGAATCATTACGGGGCCAAATTGTGTGTTTTGTAAAATTTAAGCGGTTTCCGCAATAAGGACGTCGACTTTTTGATCTTCTTATTTTGTTTCTTTTTTCTTTGATCGTTCCGACAAAATTTTAACATGCCTAAAAGCTTGTCACTGGAATCCAGGAACATATATACACAAAAGTGTGCGCCTATCCAATGCACAATTTGGCCCCGTAATCATTTGTCATAGCCTCTAGTTGGGGTCAAACAGGGCAAAAAAATGCTCTCCTTAAAAAGGGGTCTTGTTATATAATGAAAACTATGTACTAAACATTCCGTTGGTCCAAGAAAGTGACGGAACGTTTGTGCTCTATGGCTGTGCTATAGAGCAGCATAAAAACATTTTCGAGTTCGGCTTGCACTACGAGGCTAAACTGTGCACTGGATAGGCGCACAATTTTGTGTCTGTTTGTTCCTGGATTCCAGAGACAAATCTTTAAACATGTTAAAAATTTGTGGGAACGATCAAAGACAATAAAAGAATAAAAGAAGAACAAAGGGAGCGTCCCCCCTTTGATACTTCTTCAGAAATCCATTTTTGGCCAACCGACTGTTAAATTTTTCTAAAGGCGCCTTTGGCGCCAATATATACTAACTTTGAGGGGGAGCGCGCGCCAAAAAAAACGCGATTTTTTTGTCAAAGTTTTTCAAAAAGTGCCCAAAAACGGCTTTTTTGACTGTTTTTTCAAAAATTTGCCTGCGGCGCAGAAAATTTTGCCTAAATAGGGGCAAAAAAAGGCTTTGGGAGAGCTCGAAAAATCAATTTGGTCAACCTAAAAAAAAAGGTCGTCAAAATTTTGGACAATTTTTTGAAAATCCGCCCCCCATCCCTCGAGAAAATCCTAGATCCGCCCCTGTATATAGATCCGCCCCTGTATATAGATCCGCCCCTGTAAGTGGTTTGTCATAAATATACTGCTAAATCAAACAAACTATCGGTAGCATCGATACTCCAATAGTTTCACTGGTTTTGTTTTCTGCTCTGCCTCATACATTGACTCGACCAAATTGAAATTAGTACTCTTCCAAATCACTATATAAAGACCCTGTTTTGACCATTTTTTTGCACTGCAGGCGATTAAAAAGAAACGACGCTTTTAACTACTTCATACGCAATTTTGACCAAAAAAGCGTTGTTGTTCGGCCTGCTCTTCCTTGTTTTAAGTTTTAAGCTGACGATGACTTGAGTTTGATGGGGTTGTTTCGTCCTTACACTAGTTTTTGTCAATTTTTGTCGGTTTTCACGGATTGAACACATATTCCATTTGGAACTCTGGATCTCAACCCAACTAATTTCTTTCATTACACAGTCCGAACATTGAAACCTTTTAACCCCTTGAGCTAATAACTCTACCTTTTTGTCCTCAGAGACTGAACATAAAATAACGACCTCGATCCGGGAAAATCTAAATACATGCTCGTCGTTGCTTTGATATGTGAACAATATAGAAAAATTGTTAGATGTCAAATAACAAAAGTAAATGTAATTTGTAAATATAGTTTTTATTTGCGGATGTAAGGCAACGAATTTATGTTTTTCTTGTCGAACGTTTTAAGTTGAACCCAATTGGATGAGATCTTTTGCGATTGTTGAGACATTCCACTTTTATTATGCGCTGTGCTCCATTTTTATAGTAATTTTGCCTAATTTTTCATTTGATGCTTTAGCAGACAGAGTTTTCAATACAACATTTAAGCCAAAATGGACCTCTTTGACTTTCATAATCCCAATTGACGTTCAGTTAGAAGAATGGCAAGACTGTCGACGGTTCAGTTTAGTGTACTGCTTGTATTCTTATGAAACGAAAAGATTAAATCAAAACAGAGCCACACATTATTATTTTCGGCCAACTTCCATCGATTTTTTGAGGTACACTTTTTACTGGTTGGAAAACGTAACAACCAGAATAAGTGACGACATTTTTCGGCCAATTTACCAATCAATTAATAACTTCATGGGCGAAAATGGCTGTTGTATAGAGCAAAACAGAAACTACATCAATTTCGGCCTGAATGAGTTTATTCATAACCACAAAGAATACGTGAGCAAAATGACTGATTTTAAGAGCCTGAGAAAAAAATTGAATTTCATTGAGGCATACTATATGGCGGAATGCGATGTTAACCTCATAATTAAAGTTGGATTTGGCAGCGGAAAAATTTGGCGAGTGAATCGTGTAATTCCAGATTACAGTTTCGCTAAAGAGGGAAGTCCTTATCTGCTGACAGTTGGAGACAATTGGACCCCACTTATTCCATATGAGCACCCAGATGAGTTTTTGACCTTCACATGGTTCAAGGAGAATGTCATGTGTCTTGAGCAGTCATGGATTTGTGAATGAAAACTAGGAATCTTTCAGCTTCATCATCGACGACATTATTTTACCAGTTTTTAAATAAAGATCTGATCACCTGGGTTGGCAAAAAACGCTTATCATACAACTTTCGTTTATGGAAAAAGTTCTCATCGTACAGTTTCGTAGAATCACATAGTTTAAAAAAATGTACGATAATAGCACGACAAGCATTTTTTCCATTAACGAAATTGTACGACAACCATTTTTTCCATCAATGAAATTGTTTCATAAGCATTTTTTTCATCAAAGGAATTGTTTGATAAGCACTTTCTCCATCAATGAAATTGTAGGAAAGCTTTTTTTCATCAACGGAATTGTATGACTAGCATTTTTTTCATCAACGGAATTGTATGACTAGCATTTTTTTTATCAACGGAATCGTAGGGCTAGCATTTTTTCCATCAATGGATTTGTATCATTAGCTACTTTGAGGCTCTATTGACTCAAAATCAACCCGTACAGCGTTCTATCTCTAAACAAAGGATCACCTGAGAAAACGCTGCAAGCGAGAGTACTGTTAATGTAAAATTTTGTTTTAGTCAGAGGCTATGGTTATGACAAAAAGTAAAATGCTCTGAAGTTAGGTTTATAAAATTTTCCAGGTGGTAAAAACACTCAGCTGAACTTAAAACTAGCAAAACTGTTTGTATCAGGGCGAAGAACTGAATGTTCCCACTGCCATTTAACGTCTATAGCGTAGTTTTTGATTTGAAAAGATAAGTCAAGTTTTCAAAACTTTTTCGATTTTTTTAAAACCCCACCCCTACATGCTATATATAATGCAAATTGATATGTTTTGCGTATAGCAAAGTATTGAATAGAACATGAAGCATGACTCAATTTATTTTGGAACGATTTCCAAATCTCCATAACTTTATGAAATTTGATCACAGAAGAAATATCATTTTAAAGTTGAGCTCACGACAAATATACTTTTTGATAGACTTTAACAAAATACGTCGCAAATTGCTGGTTAAAAGGTCGTAATTTGTCTCAAAAACAACCACGAGCAAAACATTTGGTTTTTTCTTCAAACGTTGAAAAAATAATTGGAAATATTTCAAAAGTTTTGATTCCTTTCTTTATTTTTATCACCCGTCACGCTTTGTAAAGCACAAACTTTGACTCTGGTAACATATTAATCAGAACAGTTTATTTGCACCTCAATTCAATTTGTAACAATCTAAGGATCACGTGAGGCGACAATTGGTAAAAGGAGACAAATCTTAACAGGTGACAATTCGTAATACATGATTAAACGAGAAACACTTATTCACGCGCAGTATTCCTCTCGTGACGGATGTACACGCAGCGGAGCGAAGCTGAGCAATCGTATTCTACTTGCCGATGTCTTGTTATGAATTCTCGCTTGTTGTTCCGACTTTTGTAACGAAAGTAACGGAATATTTGTGCTCGGTTAGTTTTTTTTCTTCAGACAAATTTCGACTTTTTAACTAGCCATTTTTGACGGAAATTTTTATATCATTCAAAAAGTATTGTTGTCCTGAGCTCAAATTTGAAAAGATATTTCACCTGTGATCATTTTTCGTAAAGTTACGGGGGTTTAAAGAT